GATCTAAAGAAATGGAGAGAAATGTCATATTTGCAGATTGGAAGGTTCAATATTGCTCCAATGTCGATGGTCCCAATGGATGAAATGGTCCCAAATTGATCTGCGGATTTGATGTGATCCCAACCAAAATTCCAGCAGGATTTTTTTTTTGTAGAAATTGATTTTTTAACATTTATATGGAAATGCAAATGGCCTACAATAGCCAAGGCAACTTTAGAAAAGAAGAACAAAGTTGGAGGATTTGCCCTCTCTGATTTCGAGACTTATTGTAAAACGACAGTAATCAAGACTACGTGGAATGGTGAAAGGTGAGACACGGAGATCGCTAGAGAAGAACGGAGTCCGGAAATAGGCCCACACATAAATAACCAGCTGATGTTCAGTAAAGGCGTCAAGGCAAATAAACAGGGAAAGAAAAGTCTGGAGCAATTGGACAGGTAGGTAAAGGCTTCTTAGGACATAAAAGTACAAACCATAGAAGAAAAAACAGATGAATTCGACTTTATCAAAATTTAAAACTTTTGTTCTTGAAGAGACAATTAAGAAGATGAAAATACAAGTCATCGAATGAGATGAAATATTTGTAATACATACATATGACAAAGGATGGTTACCCAGAATATAGTAAAGAACTCTCAAAACTCATTAATAGGAAAACAGGCCAGACGCGGTAACTCAAGCCTGTAGTCCCAGCACTTTGGGAAGCCAAGGCGAGGGAAACACTTGAGTCCGGGAATTCAAAGCCAGCCTGGCCAACCTAGCGAGACTCCATCTCTACAAAAAATAGAAAAATTAGCCAGGTGTGATGGCCTGCACCTGTATTCCCAACTACTTGGGAGGCTGAGGCAGGAGGATTGCTTGAGCACGGGAGTTCGAGGCTGCAGTGAGCTTTGATCACGCCACTGCACGCCAGCCTAGGGGACCGGATGAGCTAGCAAAGGAAGTTGAGAAGGGACCAAAGGAAAGGGAGGGAAACCAGAAGAGCAACACGTAGCAGAATTCGTGGAAAGAGAATGTTTCAGGAAGAGTGTGGAAGTTGTGTTGAATGCTCATTAAAAAAGAAAAAAAAATGTCCACTAAATTTAGTAACACAGACGGAACCCAGATCGGAGTAGACTGAGGAGTGACAGAAATAAGGAAGTGGAGAATGTGATTTTACCTCATTTCGGATAACGGGTCCAACTTCCTGTAACAAGCTGGGTTATAACAAGGATGAGAGAAAACTGAACTTGGAAGAAATTGTGAAAGACACCACTTTTGTAAAAGCTTACCCCTCTACATTGAGCCTGAGAGGTTGCGTTTCTGTTCCTGTGATGTAGGTGGGCATCATGACGCATGCGTCGGTTCAAAAATTTCCTTTATTACGTTATTTTCATGACTACCGTGAACATGAAGGAGAGGGTTTAATGGAGGTGTCTTCAACATCGGTGTCACATGACAGTGACAGAGAAAGGCACAAGGCGGGGAGGAAGGACAGGCAGAGATAAAAGGCAGTCTTTCTCCTCAACACCTGTGTCCCAGTGAGTTTCCATTTTGCAATTAAATCCAGACGCTTGTGAATATTTATAGAAAATCATAAAAGCAAAATGACACAAATGAATTTGGTAGCAAGCAACAGAGAATGGGCTCTTTCTC